ATCTGCACCCTTCGTGTCCGTGACAATGATCACATATATAGGCATCACGTCCGTGACAAGTAGACCGACTCCTGTCTGCATCTACCACTATTACTCGACCAATCTACCGCTATCCAACATGCATCTATGATACTAAGTTCATGATAAACAGAGTAACGTTTTAAGCAAGATGACATGATGTAGAGTTGTAGACAAAGTAAACTCAAGCAATATGATTAAACCCTGTCATTTTATCCTTAATGACAACATTACAAATATGTGTCTCGCTACCCCTTCTGTCACGAGGTGAGGACACCGCATGATTGAACCCATTACAAAGCACCTCTCCCATTAAAGATAAATCAATCTAGTTGGTCAAACCTAACGGATAGATCGGAGAGAAATACAAAGCTATCATAATCATGCATAATCATGAAATGACTATTTATTTGATAATAACGACTTATCACAAAAACAACCAAGGGTCCATCGACCCGATTGAAATTGCCTTCACTGCGTTGAACCGAAGGAAACTACTAATAAAGTTCAGAAAAGACTCAGTTACTTTCAATGAATAATCTGTCGTAAACCCACAATTCATTAGATCCCAACAAACACGTTGCAAAAGAGGATTACATTGGATAGAACTTCAAGAAGATCGAGGAGGACATGGTATTGAAGATCAAAGATAGAGAAGAATCCATCTAGCTACTAGCTATGGACCCGTAGGTCTGTGGTGAACTACTCACACATCATCGATAGGGCAGCAAGGTTGATGTAGAAGCCCTCCATGATCGACCCCCCCTCCAGCAGAGTACCGGAAAAGGCCTCCAGATGGGACCGCGAAAGAGCAGAGACTTGCGGCGGCGGAAAAATTGTTTCGGGTGGCTCTCTGGGGTTTCCCAATATTTGAGAATTTATAGAAGTGGAATTAGGTCAGACGGAGCCACGTGGGGCCCACAAGGTAACAGGGCGCGCCCTGTTGCCTTGTCGTCTGGTCTCCTCCCGAAGCTTCTAGGGTCTCTTTTGTCCAGAAAAAATCATCAAAAAGTTTTGTACCGTTTGGTACCGATTTTCTGGAAAACCAAAAACAACCAGAAAACAACAACTAGCACTAGTCACTGGATTAATAGGTTAGTTCCTAAAAATGATATAAAATCGCATATTAAAGCATATAAACTATCCAATATTGACAATATAATAACATGAAACAATAAAAAATTATCAACATCCCCAAGCTTAATTCCTACTTATCCTCGAGTAGGTAAATGATAAAAACAAATTTTTTGATGTGAATGCTACCTAGCATGTTTATCATGTAATCTCTTTACGGTATAAATGATGAGAAACGATGAAGTAATAACATCAACATAATAATATCCATGAATATTATAACATAATAACATCAACATAACAATCATTACTTTTTCAAAATATACGACCCTTAACGAATGTTATCCCTAGTCATTTTATCGTGTTAGCATGGCATGACTCCGCCTTCACCGCATAAATATAAATCATGAGCACCCCGGTGTCAAACCGGTCAATTGGATCATATTATGACGTGCTTCAACATTTTCAACCCCACGCATTACATGAGTGTGAGCCATGGATGTAACACTATAGGTGGAATAGAATGCGGTGGTAGAGATCAATAGTAGAAGTCAAAAGGGAAGAAAGTCTCGCATCAACTCGGCGGATCAACGGGAAATGGAGAGGCCGATCAATCGATGCCAATGCAAGGAGTGGGGATTGCCATGCAACGGATGCACTAAGAACTATAAGTTTATGAAAGCTCAATTGGAAACTAAGTGGATGTGCATCCAACTTGCTTGCTAAAGAAGACCTCGGGCATTCAAGGAAGCCCATCATCGGAATATGCAAGCCAAGTTCTATAATGAAAAATTCCCAGTAGTATATGAATGTGATAACTCGGGAGACTCTCTATATGAAGAACATGGTGCCACTCTGAAGCACAAGTGTGGTAAAAGGATAGTAACATTGCCCCTTCTCTCTTTTTCTCTCATTTCATTTTTTGTTGGGCTCTTTTTAGCCTCTCTTTTTTCTATTTCGTTTGGAGTCTCATCCCGACTTGTGGGGGAATCATAATCTCCATCATCCTTTCCTTACTGGGACAATTGAAAGAACATGTGATGCTCCCATGTTTGGTTTTCGTAATTGATGACAATCTCTATGGACTAATGGTTGCCTTGAGTTATATTTGATGGGTTTGTCCATAGGTTTTTCTTGAAGTCCATTTGTTGGTTTCAAGGATATTATGTGATGACCAAGGTGTTATTCAAGGAATTATCAAAAGATTGGTCATGTGAGAGGTTGGTCAAGACTAAGTCAAAGAGTGAATCAAGTTGATCAACACACAAAGCATACAGGATGTACCGAGAGGTATCAAGTGATCCCATGGTATGTGTCGTGGTTATCTCGCGGGCGGGTTGGGTGGCTTGAGGTGAGGGCAAGACTGCTACGGAGATCAGGGGACGGGATTGGGCAAGCAGCACGCTGTTGTTTACCCAGGTTCGGCACTCTCCGGAGATATAATACCCCTACTCCTGCATGTCTGATAATGTATGCAGTGTGTATGTAGCAGTACAGAGTTGCTCCTGAAGCTGTATCTAGAGGAGGAAGAAGGAGGCTCGGAGCGCTCCTCTTCTCTGCCTCATGTGTGAGTGTATGAACGAGAGAGTGAGAGGGAGTGTGCCTGATTGTGGCCAAGTGAGTGTGCATGGATGGATGGATGTGTGAGCGTGGCCAAAATGAGGCTGTGTGTGTGAGGCCTCCCCTGGGTCACTTTATACACTAGTGCCCATCGACAAGGGGTGGCCCACATACCCACTACATTATTGAGATGTCATATGATGATGCAGGCTATAGTGCATCACTATTGGAGCGCAGTGAAGTGTCACATGATACAGAAACAGTGATGGCTGCTCATCTACAGTGCTCCACTGTGGAGTATGGTCGTCACGTCTGTGTAGGTCCGACGGGACATCTTAGTTGACTTGGCCAGATTCCAGCCGGATGGGCTCAACCCGGACGGGGCTCAAATCAGAAAGCTCAACCCAGACAGACAGAACCCGGACAGGGTCAACCCGGATGGGCTCCACCCGGACAGCTCAACCCGGACAGGTCAACCCGGCCAAGGTCAACCCGACCAGGGTCAACCCGGATAGGTCAACCCGGCCAAAGTCAACCCAGCTAGATTCCAGCCAGCCAGGGGGCACTCCCCTGGCAATGTTTTGAAGCGTCGTTTCACCGTCTTGGGCATACCCGGGGGTCATCCCCCGACAGTAGGCTCCGAGCCACTGGGCAACTTGGAAAAGTTGTGCGGAGGGTTTTAGCGGGTGTCGATGTAGTAGATGGCGTCGAGGATGCCTATTGTAGCCGGCGGCGGGCGTGCAACGGGCGCGGCGTGTATCGAGTGGGGGCGCACGAGCGCACCCACTGGGTGTAGCCTCTGAGCCTCCGGGCAACTTGAAAAAGTTGGGCGGAGGGTCTTTTTGTTGATGATGAATCCGACGGTGACGTCGAGGGTGTCGGGCGCGGACACGGAGTCCACCGGCTGGAGGGCGCGGGGCCTTGCCGGACGCGGACGCGGAGTCCGCCGGCTGAGTGGGGGAGCGCGATGCACCCATTGGGTGTAGCCTCCGAGCCTCCGGGTAACTTGGAAAAGTTGGGCGGAGGGTCTTCGCTTTTGTTGATGAAGCCGATGGTGACGTCGAGGGTGCCGGGCACGGACACGGAGTCCGCCGGCTAGAGGGCGCGGGGCCCTGCCAGACGCGAACGCTGAGTCCACCGGCTGGGTGGGGACACGCGAGTGCACCCACTAGGTGTAGCCCCCGGGCAACTTGGAAAAGTTGGGCGGAGGGTCTTCGTTGTTGTTTATGAAGCCGACGATGACGTCGAGGGTGCCGGGCGCGGATACAGAGTCTGCCGGTTGGAGGGCGCGGGGACCCGCCAGACGCGCACGCGGAGTCCGCCCGCTGAGTGGGGGCGCGCGAGCGCACCCACTGGGTGTAGCCACTGTGCCTCCGGGCAATTTAGAAAAGTTGGGCGGAGGGTCTTCGCTGTTGTTGATGAAGCCGACGGTGACGTCGAGGGTGTAGGGCGCGGACATGGAG